AAAAAAAAAAAAGTCAAAAATAACAGATACTGGCAAGGTTGTGGAGAAAAAGGAACACTTATACACTGTTGGTGGGAGTGCAAATCAGGTCAGCCATTGTGGAAGAGAGTGTGGTGATTTCTTAAAGATCTAAAGACAAAAATACCATTACACCCAAAGAAATAGAAATCATTCTATTACAAAGACACACACACACATGTTCATTACAGCACTCTTCACAATAGCAAAGACATGGAATCAAGTTGAATGCCCAAAAATGATAGACTGGATAAAGAAAATGTAATACATATATGCGCTGGGATACTATGTAGCCAAAAAAATAAATGAGATCATGTCCTTTGCAGGAACATGGATAAAGCTGGAAGTCATCTGCAAACTAATGCAGGAACAGAAAAGCAAATACTGCATGTTCTCACTTGTAAGTGGGAGCTAAATGACGAGAATGCATAGAGACAGGGAGGGGAACAACACACACTGGGGCCTTTCAGAAGGTTGAGGGTGGGAGGAGGGAGAAGATCAGGAAAAATAACTGATGGATACTAGGTTTAAAACCTGTGTGGTTCAATAATCTGTGCTACAAACTCCCACGACACAAGTTTACCTATAAAACAGCCTGCATTTGTGCCCCTGAACTGAAAATAAAAGGTAAGAAAAGAAACTAATCAGTAGATTCTGCTCATTGCTGAGTAAGTCTATTTCAATTACCCAAGCCAGCACAGAGGAAATAATCACAGGGTGGGTCAGGGGCCCACTGGACCCACTGCAAGAATGGTTTATGTATGTTAGGGCTTCAGGTTTTCTATTCTTCCTAATTTAATCTTGATACGTTGTATGTTTCTAGGAATTTATCCACTTCCTCCAGGTTTTCCAGTTTGTCAGTACAGAATTGTTCATAATGGTCTCTGATGATCTTTTATATTTTTGCAGAATCACTTGTAAAGTTTCTCTTTTCTGATTTTGTTTGAGTCTACTCTCTGTTTTTCTTGGTTTGTCTAGCTAGTGGCTTGTCAATTTAGTTTATGTTTTTGAAGAACAAATTTTTATTGATCACTTACATGGTTTTTAAAAGTCTTTAGTTCTGCTCTGATCTTTATTATTTCTTTTCTGCTAATTTTGGATGTGGTTTGTTACTTTTCTAGTTCATTAAGGTTCATTGTCATATTGTTAATTTCTAATGTTCCTACTCTTTTTAGGTAGACATTTACTGCTGTAAACCTCCCCTTTAGCCCTGTTTAACTGTATCCCACAGGTTTTGATATGTTGTGTTTCCATTTTCATTTGTTTCAACAAACTTTTTTATTTCCATCTGAATTTCTCTGTTGACTCAATGTTTATTCAGGAGCGCGTTGTTAGTTTCCATGCATTTGCCTAGTTGCCAATGTTTCTCTTGGTGTACATTTCTAGTTTTATTCCATTGTGGCCAGAGAAAATATTTGATATGATTTTAATTTTTGAAAATTTGTTGAGACTTGTTTTGTGGCTTAACATAGGTGCTCTCCCGGAAAATGTTCCATGTGTTCATGAGAAGAATGTACATTCTGTAGTGTTAGATAGAATGCTCTGTAAATATCTGTATCTTTATTTGGTCTAAAGTTCAGTTTAAATACAATATTTCTTTCTTGATTTTCTGTGTAGATGATATGTCTAATGTTGAGGTTTAGATGTTGAAGTCCCCACTATTCTTGTATTGGAATCTATCTCTCTTGTTAGATGTACTAATGTTACAGGCTGCTCTTTGCTAGAAAAGAAAATGATTTGGGGGCTGCATTTCATTAAAAGAAAAACCTTACTGAGGACTTCTGTACCCTCACTATCTGCCTAAATCATTTCTTCTCAACTCCTATATCGCTGCCAGAATCTGAGCCAAAATGAGGTGACTCAAAGAGGCTGGGACTGTGCAGAATGCATTTTAGTAGAAACAGCTGAATGGCAGTGGTGATGTCCAGTTTCCAGGTGCGGCAGTGACATCTATCCTTGCCTCAGGGTCCAGTGTCCAGCACCAGGATGTCAGAGGTGTGAGCAGTGGTGTCTGTGCTCAGCAGAAGGGGCAGTTGTTCCTAGGAGGGACCTGATCCTGGGTGGGCTGTGGATTCTGTTCCTGGTTGTGTAATTTCCAGCCTTGTTCTGTGGCCTTCCCCACAATAAAATTAGCCCCCAATACCAGATATACTACTGTATGTATAAATTACAGAAATCTGTTTTCCATAGTTTGCTACGAGAAGGGAGTAAGAAATCAGTGTGTGGCCCAGTGTCAGAGAGCAGCATTCAGAGGTGTTCTCTGTGCAAGAGCCACATCCTGAATTGTCTACCTGGCCTCTACGCCATGGTGGAGAGATCAACAGGAAATGTAACATCTCATAATTGATTATATACATCCTGCCTTTTATTTCTGAGAGAAAAATCTTCTTTTAAACCAGGTTTGAAAA